GATGAGGTTTCATGTAAACTTACTTGAGATCACCATTAAGAAACACATTCTTGACATCCATTGCCATAACTCCCAACGATGAGCGGAAACTATTGCAATTAAGATAATAACATATGTAGTGTGTAACAAAGGAGAAAATATCCTCACGTCAATTCCATATTCTTAGATGAAACTCCAGGCAACAAGACGAGCTTTGTACCTTTTCATAGTTCCATCAGATTTTGTTTTACAATCCACTGATATTCGACATATGGTTTACAAGCAAGCAAATCAACTAACTCCGAAGTATTTGTTTTGTCCAATGTTTGAAATTCTTCCTCCATGGCTTTCCGCCAAACAAGGTTAGCTCTGACCTCTTTGTAAATTTGAGGCTCATGTGGAGATTGGATAGTAGGGTAAACATGATAATTGTAACATCCCTCAATTACTAATCCTAGAAATGCTACTTACATACTTTATATTTTAATTCTACATGTATATTATACAAAAGACTTGGAATGTAAACATTTTTGAAATTGATTTTATTTCAAAATATCAAAATACAGACTATTAAATCAACGTAATGTATTAAGTTGTTAGAGAAATATGTTAGAATATTAGATATGATATGATTAGATTTGATTAGATATGATTGGATTCTGTCTTATCTGTAAATAGTCTGACTGTATTCTGACTGTATTAAGATTAGGTTTGGGCCTTACACTTAAGTCTATTAGGGTCTCTATATATTGTAACTCCTTGACACAGATCAATATACAACGTATTCTTTTACATTTAACTTGGTATCAGAGCTCTTTCGTTCTAGGAACCCTCGCTTCCGCTCAGAAACCTTGTTTTTTGCTTTAAAAACCTAAGCCCACTGCTTAGGAGTCCTCTTTCTTGCCGTGCGTCCTTCCGGCAAGCCTTCTAGGGCTGTAAACAGCCTCTGAGTGATTTTTCCAAACGCGTCAGCACCTCCGACGGCCACCGGAACCACCGCCCGCCGTCAGAATCACTGTTCAGGCAACCGGAGACTTTTTCCGGCGACTTTTCGACCAAACTTCACGCAATCAAGACAGGGCATTTCTATCTGTCAAAGGAAATATGCCTTGGATATCCTAGAAGAAACTGGTATGTTGGGGAGTAAACCAGTTGATACACCTATGGATCCTAATGTCAAGTTATTACTCGGACAGGGGAGCCGTTATCTGATCCTGGACGTTATCGGAGGCTAATTGGGAAGCTCAATTATCTTACTGTGACTAGGCCAGATATTTCTTTCGCTGTCAGTACGGCCAGTCAGTTCCTTGATTCCCCTTGTGATTCACATTGGGATGCTGCTGTGAGGATCCCCCGATACATCAAAGGAGCACCAGGAAAAGGTTTGTTGTATTCGGATCAGGGAAATACAGAAATTTGTGGTTACTCAGATGCCGATTGGGCAGGATCACCCTTGGACAGACGCTCTACTTCTGGTTATTGTGTCTTCTTCGGAGGAAACTTAATCTCATGGAAAAGCAAGAAACAACCTGTTGTTTCCCGATCTAGTGCAAAAGCTGAGTATCGTGCAATGGCAAATACTACCTGTGAGTTGATCTGGTTAAAGCAGTTGATTCAGGAGCTTCATCTTTGTGAACAGAAACAACCCATGACACTCATCTGTGATAATCAAGCTGCGCTACATATATCCTCTAATCCTGTTTTTCATGAGAGGACCAAACGTATAGAGATTGATTGTCACTTCATTCGGGAAAAGATTCAGTCAGGAGAAATCAAGACAGCTTTTGTCAACTCGTCTAATCAACTAGCAGATGTTTTCACTAAAGCTCTTAGAGGTCCTCGGGTTGAATACATTTGTAACAAGCTTGGTGCTCATAATATATACGCACCAGCTTGAGGGGGAGTGTTAGAATATTAGATATGATATGATTAGATTTGATTAGATATGATTGGATTCTGTCTTATCCGTAAATAGTCTGACTGTATTCTGACTGTATTAGGATTAGGTTTGGATTAGGTTTGGGCCTTACACTTAAGCCCATTAGGGTCTCTATATATTGTAACTCCTTGACACAGATCAATATACAACGTATTCTTTTACATTTAACTAAATATAAACACTATTAAAATGACCTTAACTTTTGAGCTTAAGCTTTTGGGTTGAATTGGTTCTTTATATGGTATCAGAACTTCAATGACCACGAGGTCACAAGTTTAATCCCCATCGCCCCCACTTTTTAGTGGAATTAAGTAGAAAAGCATAAGGTAAACCAAAAATTGAACATGTGCAATATTCACGCTTCAAGTTCAAAGGACTTTTGCGTGAAAGAGGTGTGTTAGAAAAATATAAAAGTCCTTAAAAGGCCTTCACCTCTAAGCTTAAGTTTTTGGGTTGAGTTTATGCTTTACATAAATAACCCTTACAAAATCTAACTATCGCAACTAAAATATAAATATGGTCTTTACAGAACTTCAAAATTAAATAAAAATATATAGACTTTATTGGCTAATACTTCTTCCTTGTACACACAACATTTACTCTCTTTTTTTTGGAGTTAACCAACTCTAATTACTTCTTTCCTCCAGTATTCCCACAAGCTTCGACCCTTTGAGTCGGTTATGAGACTAATCCGGAGTGCGGGATGAGTCAGTGATGAAGATATTTAAACCCTTACTAAATGTGGCATGTGGGGATCGAGTCGAGACTCTTTTCTTTTCACTTACTCAATTCATTTGCTACCAACCGATCTATCACCATTTAGTATACAACATTTACTTTAGGATTTGCCTTCCACATCTGGAAACATTACACTTCTACAAAAACTTTTTAAATTGTAAAACTTACATTCCAAGTTTTCTGTATAATATATATGTAGAATTATAATTTAAAGTATGTAACTAGCATTTCTTAGTTAATAATTGAGGGATGTTATTTTATGGTATCAGAGTAGTTCATCTATGATGACTATGTATTAGAGTCTTTTCAATTTGTCATGGATTATAACTACTTTGATTGCTAAATATTGAGACGGATCACCTCAATATTTTGTTCATTATATGTATAATTCAGAGATAATATTATAAATTTTTAATCTTAATAAGTAGTTGAATCTTTAGTATATCTTTGTTGATAGTTGAATAAGAAATAAGTAGCATTAATCAGTTAATAATTGAAGGATGCTACAATAATCATGAAGTCTAACAAAAGGTTGTCTTACCTTGGTAGAGTGATGGAGATGTATATTAGGTTGTTTATGATCATCATATTGGACAATATTATCTCAAGAGAGGTAACTATTTAAGGAGGGCGCACTCTATAGTTTAAATAAAATAAGGGAAAAAAGAGTATTTTTTTTTTTTTTTTTGATAACAAGGAGTATCTTTTTAAAGGATACAAATTTATGTCATTTTAGCAGTTTTTAACTATGCATTTTCAGTAATGGATAATTATAATATTAAAGTTGTACTTTTTTTACTTTTCACCTTAGCAGACAGCTTTTGAAGAAAAAGAAAAAGAAAAGTACAATCTTAATATTATAACTATGCATTCCCCGAAAATGCTAAAACTGCTAAAAAGGATATAACTTGTCACTAAACCCATAAAATAATATGTAGAAGTAATATCATAACCATAACTTGTAAGAATATCATCAAAGGTTAACAAAAAGATCAACGGAGTGAAAAATAATATTAAGAAGAAAACATAACATGCCTTGAGACCCCTTAAAACGTTTGGAAATGGGATCCCAACTATACCTTTATGTTCAATACCATAATCCAATAAATGTCATAAATGAGCATGGGGTTCTGATTTGTTTTGTTCATGTGATTGAAGAAAAACAAAACAAATACAAACAAAAACCTTAAGAAGATCAGAAGAAAGTCCATACAAATTTTCATGAGGAGATTGATTACTGATAGGAGAGGGAACCTAATTAATTGGCGAAACTGCAGTTAAAGCAGTTTCACCCCAAAAACTCTATGGACAAGATCCAGAAATAAGAAGAGCATGAATAGTGTCAAAGATGTGACAGTGTTTAGGTTCAACACGACCATTTTATTGAGATGTTGATAAAGAAATCCAAAAAGAATTTTATTACTAAATCAATAAAATATGGTTGAAATAAAACTATGAAAACATTTTCTGCATATGTGCTGTAAAGCAAGATACCTCATCAAGGAGATTCATAATATTTGGGTCTTTGGCTGCCCATTGAACAAAGTCGGCTGCTACAGTGTGAGAATCAAAGTTTTTCAACTAATTGATTGTTACCGCTTACCGGAAGACAATTGGTTCGTGAAGTAACACTCCTCTTTGTAGTTGTTTGGCTTGACTTTTTTTTTTAGAAGCTAAACCAAACACTTATATGCATAAAAGCACTTAAAAAGCAACTTATTTTATAGTACAAAAATATATATAAAAGTGGCTTTTTATGAAAAGCTTTCAGGAGGAGTTTTCAGCTTTTATTTCCGGAAGACAATTGGTTCATGATTTCTCGTTAAAATTGGATAAATTTGCTAGTCACGCGCCTTCAGCAAGAAAGGTTATTAGAAGGTAGTTTAGTAAATCGGAACGGTGAGTTAAACTAGTGTTACCAAATTCTGCTTTAGGAATCATTCTCACACAAGTGAGCCATACAGAATTTAAGCTATATATAGATTTAAATAAGTGGTTCCAATCAATGTATAGGCGGAGTAAGGGTTGTACGGTAAAGGTAGCTAGCTTTTTTTTATTTTTTATTTTTTGGTACATGTACATTAAAGATAGTAAAGTGATACTTAGTTTACGAAATGGAAGAATTTGTGCATGCCCGTTTAGAGGAACAGAACCTAGGTTTGTTCAGAAGCCCAAAACTGTTATATCCTTCACTATTTTTCATCTTTGTATGTTTAAAACCAACTCTATATGAATGTGGTGATGAATTGTGAGTGGAAGATTATTCAGGCATCTAAGCAAGAAGTGAGAAACCTCAGAAGAGAGTAAGGACTTAGAAAACCAAATCAATATCTTTTGGGTAAAATACATCATCTAGGGTTTTAAAAAAAAAACTATTTTTTTTTTTTTTACAATGAAAATAAGTTTCTGAATTTCAGTCCTAACAGGGTAACAAGAGTGTTTAAAGCTCGTACTCATGCTTTAGATGACGAGCTTAAAGCACAATATGAAAAATGAGTTTGAATTGGCATGTCAAAATTCATCTCCTTCATATAATTTGTTTCATGCTGTCAGAGAGAGAAAGAAAGAAAGAAAAAGATAAGACAGGAAGTGAGGAAATTCGAAGTTATGAAAAAGCTAGCCAATGGTTTTGGAAAGAGATCCAAAGATATTTTAAAGGAACAATTTGGTTTAGAAATGACAGATTAAATTGATAAATCATCGAAATTTTTCCAGCGGTTTTCCTAGTCTTAGTATTGAACTGTATTCACTGAGCCACCAACCTAGATTTTTTTCCCAAGCATAATAAAAAGGATCACCATTTGCTGGATAGTTTATGTCACCACTACTGAACTTACATCAGGTCTCATATAGTCCCTCAGTCAAATGCAATCTGACTATGCTTGGGGGGAAAATTCCATGCAACCGCTGAAAAATTCAAATTGTCACCACTTTAGAAGATTTATCAATTTAATCCGCCATTTTTAAACCAAATTGTTCCTTTAAAATATCTTTGGATGTCTTGCCAAAACCATTGGCTACCTTTTTCATAACATTGAATTTCCTCACTTCCTGTCTTATCTGTTCCTTTCTTTCTCTGACAGCATGAAACAAATCATCCGAAAGAGATGAATTTTGCCATTCCAATTTAGACTTCTCACTGTCCAGTTGCTGATACAAATTTTGTAAATAAGTCTTGTGCTCTTGGAGTCTTTCTTCTGCCAACTTATATTCATACTCCTGTGACTTTCTAAGAGCCTGGAGAACCTGATCAATCTCATCCTGAAGTTTTAATGAATGAGATAGATAATCAGAAGGTTCTTCCCCTAGTCTAACATCTAAAGAGCTTTCATTGATTGGAACTTCCATCTCATCATTGCCATGATCTGATAAGCCTGTTAATAAACACAAAATATTAAATACTAAGACAAAGGTGATGAGAAAACTGAATTTACAATTGGATGGTCACGGAAGTCAAAGACCATTAATGGTCACTTTCTTTTTCTAAATTCCTAGATGGAGACCCAGAGAACTGACATACATTTGTATTTCTGCATCTCCATAAGCATGCAAACAGTGTTATGGCAGCAGTGGAATGCAGTGAAAATTAGACAACAAAACAGGAAGGGATATTTACCTGCAGAATGAGCTATAAGATTGTCGTCCACCTTCCAGATATCTTGAAGATTAGTCCCACGTAGCTGATGTAAACTATCAAATTGGTCACAAGCTTTTAAAACATGTAAGAGAGGACAAACAAGTTGTTTTTTTTTTTTTCTCTATCATATAAAAATCATTTCAAAATACCTTTGAGTTAGCCAATTCAATATGACTCAGCAGCTCTCTTGCCTGGGGTTTAAGTGAACCACGCAAGAGACAAGAACCAAGATTTAAAATCTTTTTCTGAATTTCATCATCCAAATCAATAGCTTTACATGTTTGTAAAAGCTCATTAACATGAGAAATTAGATCAGTCCTCCCATCACAGCGTCGGCAAAGGTACTCCGCATCTAATCCAATACTTCCTCCAACTGTGCCAGCCATGCGAGAACGAAGAGCACATTCCATATGAGCAACATGACCACATTTTCCCTCACCTGTGTCTACATGGCACTTGATGTAACTGTAGCGACCATAAGCGGAACTAACAGTTTTACAACAAAGAATGCAGCAACAATCACGGCAAAAATCAGGTACAGAACAGCATATATCACAAGGCAAGGCTGGTGAATATTTTTCTACTTCTTCCAACATGAGGCTGTCGCACATCTTATTCCCACCTTTACACTTAACAATGTCAGTACCCAAATCAGTGTCTGAGTCCTCGTCTTCTGCACTTGCTATCTGTTGAAGAGGTACAGCAGGTATAGGCACTACATTGCCTACAATAAAGCGTCATAACAACTGATTATCATACCCAACAATGCCATGTGCCACAAATCCCATTGATAGCAAAAAGATATTTATCTTTATTCTCTAGTGTTCTTTAATCAAATTTTACCTCTTGATTAGATAATTTACATGTGTGTGTTCATTCTAGTCTAATCGAAACTAAAGTCAAACATAAACTGTCTGAATTCCATGAAATTTACATTGAGTAAAACAAATCGTAACAAAATCACCAAACCCTCCAAGCAAAGGCAAGAGGAGAGAAATAAATGTATGAAAAATTAAATAATTTCTTGATTTCTTTCTAAGAATTTAGTAGAGGAGAAATAAACCGTTTGTTGAAGCAGAGTGTATAGCTGGGATCTTCCAGCTGAATGAAGCGAAAAAGGCGTCAACATCGGCGTCAGGGGACAATTCTTTAATATAACGCTCAACGGAAACCTTGCTAGGAAAAGTGTGTCTTAGCTTGCGGCTTGAACCACCTCGGTTCTTCGCACGGAGTCGAATCGGGAGATAGAGGTACCGATCTTGAAAGTATCCATTTGGCACAACTCTCCGCCCTGTTCTCCATCCCCAAGTGTCACCTGGTTCAGGCCAATTTTCTGGTGCATATGGCAAACCATCGCCTGATGTTTCTGCCTCCACGGGAGGCAGATTTGACGAAATAGTATTCTTGTGATGATTACCTTCCATGACAACTGAATCAATCACCACTCCTACGCTTTACGGTGTGAGTGATAGATTGGAGAGAGTAGAGAATTGAATGAAATGGGTGATTTTCGGAAACACTAAATTCAAGACTTTGTATTTATTACTACTACTCTGCTACCCTGCTAGGGTTCAAAATGAATTGTGTGAATTTAAAGGAATAGTGATTTTCAAATAAGGAAATACTAAATAAAATTAAATAAAGGAGCCAGGGAAATATGGGTTTCTTTTTCTTATTTACTGCTCGCAGTGGGTTGTTTCGAGCTGCTCCACACCCACTTGCTACGCTATAATTATTATTATTTTTTAAAAACTGGAACTTACCAAACAAAGACTTAGCTAGCGTCTTTTATTTTATTTTTTTGTAGTTGCGTCTTTCTAGTTTTTAGCATGTTTGAGAATATGACAAAATTCTTTTTTGTAAATGCTGGTTGTATATGCTATAAGATAAGAGCATGGGACATGGACAATAGAAAAGTACAATTTTTTTTTCAAATTATAATTATATACTAACCTAACTGTATAGTATTAAAAACAAAAATCACACAATTTTACCTTTAAATGGACAAACCTTTTTCCCAATAAAACAATGTAATGTGCAAGCTGCATAATTAGTCATATTTGTAATTTAACAAAAAGTATAAAGATTGTCACAAAGCCTAAGGTCGCAACATTAAATTACGCCACTTGCATCACATCTGCAGACCCATCAGTAACAAGAAAATTATACATAGATATATATATATATATACCCGTAACAGTCCACGAGTAATTTTATCAAAATGAGAAAACCTCTAGAAGAGCTTTGATTAAAATGTTAACCCTCTTAAAGTGGAGAACCTTTCATGTATCTCGGCTACACGCTTGGCAGAGTTGGCTTTTTTCAGCTCCCAATTTGGTTTTTGAGAATGTCCAAGCTGAATCTGACCTACGATGGTTGGAATTGAGTTGGCAAGCATTGTTTGACTAGAAGTCAGCTCAACTTTTTTCTTCTGCATGGTTTCAAAGGCATTAGACATCTCCTTCCGTTTTGATTGAAGTTGCAAAAGTTGATCATCAATCTCTTGTATGGCTGAAGAGCTTGTTTCTATTTCTGCCTGTAACTTGGCCACTTTGTCCTTCAATTCATTGTACTCATTTTTGAGACTAGAAACTTTATGCTTCTTTGCCTCAAGGTCAGCAAAGAACTTTTCTGCCTCCTCAATGGTTCTCCTGGCCTCCTGCAAAGCCTCACCGGCTAAAGGAATATCTTCCACCAACTTTAACTTTATCAGTTGATCAATGCTAAGGCTAGGATCTTTACTAAGTTGTGATGCAAGTGTTGCAATTTCGACAAGATTATTAGAAGACACCAAAGAAGGGAAGTCCACTGCAAGAATGGAAGAAAGCTTCTTTCTGCGCTCGCTCATTTCATTTTCCAGAGTGATAGCAGGAACCACAGGATCAGATGATAAAGTATCATTATGAGGCAGAACAAGGATATCCTCCAAAGTATTGAGATATTCATCAAAATTCTCTGTAATAGTTACATTGGGAGATTTCTGGGCTGCTGTCTGCATACCTGATGCATCTTTAGAATCAACCAAATTACAGACAGCAACAAGATTATTTTCAGTCTGACCATTTTGGTTGCTTGCAGGTTGATCCAAATTAAAACCTGAGGAGCTTTTCAAATCCTCAGTTGACTCAATGCTTGCCTCTTGGTTCAAAGAGCACAAGTCAATGACATCATTTGCATCTTGAACAACAGATGGTAAACGTGGACGAACATGAAATAGCCTGGAAGATTTCCGAGAAGGTTGATTGCTAAGCTGTGCTTTCCGTTTTAGCTTTCCCTGGATGGCAATCTCTTCTGTGGCATCTTGTCCAGTTTCCAGTGACTTTCCTGGAAGAGGAATGAATGAAGATGGTACAGCTAGACAGCTCATATAGGCAAATTAAAATACATCAAAGAAGAAGAAACATATAAAATGAAGAAGGGTAATGCAAGTATATAAGCTAGCAGTCAACTTCTGCCTTATCCAAATAAGAGGATCCCAATTTATTGCACAAGCTTCACACAAAAAATATTCTACATTTGATCTGTGTGCTATAGCAGATATTTGCTCCTCTCTAGGACTAAAATATTCACCTAATCACCTTCATATTGCAAGCTATTTAGAAAGGCAACATGCACCTAGAGTTGGCTTAGTATCATGTGAATCATTTGTGATCTGTTTTAGGGGTTTTAGGCCTTTTACATTTTCATTAGACCCGCCACGCATAAGAAATAGAGGAAATACACAAAATCTAAGTGATTACTAGCATCCTATTATTCAGCCTCATACAAGGAGAAGAATAAAGATCAGAAGCCATTGACAACAAATAAAGATCCTGAACCATTTTGGTGGGAATAAATGTTGAACAATTACAGGCTTATGACAATCATGGAAGAAAAGCATGAACACATATCTACGTAAACTGAGACAAGTAGACAGACTTTTAAATAAGAAGAAAAATGAAAAAGTAGACTGAGACTACTAAAAACCAAGATATTACTTAATACAAACAATCAAATATTAAAAAAAAGGGGCAAGAATGAATAAAAAAAACAACACTAGATTGAAAATTGTGTAACTGTTAAGGGATAACCTTTTGTGGGGGATAGCTCAGTTGAGGGAACCTGCCAGCTAAATGAAGCAAAGAATGCTTCAAGTTCCAAGTTGGGAAAATTCGATTCAAGATAACGTATAAGATCAGGTTTGCTTTGGAATCTCAACCCCTTGTGAGACTTCTGAAGTGATATTGGAAGATACAAGTATCTATCATGGTAGTAGCCAGATCTGGATGCCCTTTTCCCTACTTTCCATCCCCATATGTCACCAGGATTAGGCCACCCTTCAGGTGCATATGGCAAACCTTCACCAGAAGCATGTGGGGATACTGGCTGAAGATTGAAGGTATTCTTCTTTATCACATCCCTACAGGCAATATTATCAATTAGAGCACCGTTCACCAAGGATATACACTAACAGGAGACAATATCAACAGCTGAAAAGACCTCACAAGCGCATAAACTTCCTGTATTAGCACATGCATAAAATGTACACGTATTCATGTGCTTGTAAAATTACTTTGATGATGTAAATGGAATTCCTTTTTTAAAACTTAATCCTACTACTGAAGTCACTTCCATTATGCAAATGTCAGCCAACTAATATGTAAATGATCACCAAATACTTTGCGTACACAAAGGAAAAATAGTTGCTGATTTCATTCATTGCTTACTTAGGAATTGAGCTTAATATGTTAAATATCACGACCATGACCCAACAATAGTTTAAACTTTAAAACGACACTACTTTCCAATATTTTTTATTAAGCTCTAAATATTCAAATATGATATTAACCATTATCTTTTTATACTGTTCATCAACCACGACCCCGACTAGTTTGAGACAAATAAAGGAGGATTGCTCCTCTAATCTTAGTTTAAGCTCTGCATGCAACATTTTCTTATTTTAAGCTCTGCATGCAACATTTTCTTATTTTAAGCTCTGCATGCAACATTTTCTAAAGTCTAAACCAACCAGAGTATATCCATTTCCCTTCTTATAGAATCATCCCATACTGTAGTCCGACGAGAGAAAAGATCGATTTCTTCCCCTTTAAGTCATAAAATCAAATACCCCCCATTAGTATACTCCATGCAAACAAATTTGTAGAAGAAAACAAGAGCATTGAAATTTTTTGCTCTTGTTTTCGCTTAGTTAAATAAAAAAGAGAATAAAATAAGAAAAATGACATACTACAAAATATGAGGAACCGAAACTGAAGAATGAAGAATGGAAAAGGTGAAAGCTTTACCTGGTGGGAGTGTTGTCAAGAGCATTGGACGAGAGTGGGAGCATGGGCGAGGCATCAACCATTGTAGAAGTCTCAGTGTCAGAGTCAGTAATAGGAGAATTGAAAAGGCAACGTGGTTGGGCTTGGGAATCCATCCTGGTTTGGTTTCACACAGACAGAAGGAAGAGAGAAATGAATGAAAATGAAGAGAGATTTTGTAACAGCACAGACACCTGGGTATTACAAGTAAGTGTGGTAGAAAGAAACACATCACTCCCTTAATTTATATTTATTTTCTGGTCACTTTTATTTTTTATATTTTCAATGCATAATTCATATATTTTTAATTCTAGTAGGCCTCCCAAACTCCCAATACAGATACAGAGGACCTGACCGAAGAAAGAATGAAAGATCACGTCTTATCAAGGCAAAGGTCCAGTACTACTCAACTTACTCCTGCTGGCCTCGGTTACCCATACTCTCAGTCATAAATTTTCTTAGTAAGTTAAAATACAAATATTCTAATATTATTTCTCAAATTTTCAACTTCCGTGAAGGAGTCATTTTACTTCTTAAAAGATATTATTATAAAGGATTTTATTTTTCTCATGTTGCATGGGATAAATTGTCTCATGCAACACACAAAAAAGTGGATGAGATTTACTTTTTTATTTTCTCTCTTTTTTTTAGTGGGTCCCATTTATTTTTTTGTGTTGCATGAGACAATTTATCTCATGCAACATGAGAAAAATAAAACCCTATTTTAAATTCTCCACACACACAAAAAAAAAATATATAATTCTCATCATATTGATCTTAAAAAAAAATATATATTAAATTGAACCCGGAACCATCGAATGTTGAGTATAATAATCATATTGATCTCAAATTTTCTACTTCCGTTGAGGTCATCCATGCGCATGTTGCATGATGGGTTAGTGTTTGTTGTTCGAGAATGCAGTATGAGAGACTCAGTGACATTGTCATTGCGTCAATAACAACGATCACAGGTTAGATTAATCATGTTTGCATAACCAATTCTTATTATAAGAACTTGTTTTCTGTTACATCTTGGTTTATTGGAGGAAGAGGATAAAGGGGAACGCAATTTCGGGAGTTGTTGGTGGCGGTGCAAGATGACTGGTGGCTGTGGTTAGAGTTAGAGTAGTAAGCCTTTTACTATTTGAGATGGGTGAGATTGTAAATGGGTCAGCCCACTTGTCAAGTGCCTATCCCTAGCGGTGTGCAAAAAAATGGTTCACTTGCCCTGTCCTTGATCTGATCTTGACCCGACCCATAAATATCTATATTTTTTGAACTGGTTTAAATACTAACCCACTTTTATTTGGGTCAGTTTTAGACCTGACTCGTTTTAATATTGACCCACTGACCCAAAACTTGACCCATACCCATTATGTGAAAAAAAATCACAGTTGCATTAAAAGAAAAGTTTTAAGGTAAAACAATTACGTCAAAATTTTTTATGGAAAATATTTTCACAAATATTTTTGCAAAAATTTTTGACGAAAAATATTTTCATCAAAATTTGTGACTAAAAACATATCGGTAAAAAAATTTGACGGAATATTTTTTTTGTCAAATTTTTTTACGGAATCTAAATTTCATCAAAATATTTCACAAAAAAATATATTCATAAGAACTTTCTATGAAACACATTTTCATCGAAATTATTTAACGAAAAAAAATTTCATCAAAATTATTTACAGATTTCAAATTTCGGCGAAAGTTTTCGACGGAAACATTTTCGTTAAACTTTTTGACAAAAAAAAATTTCGTCGAAATTTTTTGCTAAACACATTTCTATCAAAAAATTTCGACTAAATATTTTCGTCAAGTTTTTTGATAGAGAATATATCCATCAAAATTTTCAACGGAACACATTTCTGTAAAGTAAAATATTTTGACAAAAATATTTCGATAACAAATTTTGACAGAAAAAATATTTTGTTTAAATTCTTTAGAGAATCTAAATTTCGTCGAAAGTTTCAAATGAAACATTTTCCTCAAAACAATTTCCATTGGAAATTTCGACAAAACAGATTTCCATCAAAAAATTTCGACGACAAAAAATTTCATAAAAATTCTTTACAGATTTCAAATTTAGGCGAAAGTTTTCGACGGAAATATTTTCGTCATCAAAAAATTTTGACGGCAAAAAATTTCATCAAAATTCTTTACAGATTTCAAATTTTGACGAAAAAATATTCGTTAAATTTTTTGACAAAAAAAAATTTTCGTCAAAATTTTTAGCGAAACACATTTCCATCGAAAATTTTCAACTAAATATTTTCGTCAAGTTTTTTGATAAAAAATTTCCATCAAAATTTTCAACAAAACACATTTCTATAAAAAAATTCCGTAAATTTTTTTGACAAAAAAAACATTTTGACGAAAAAAATATTCTGTCAAAATTCTTTAGAGAATCTAAATTTCGTCGAAAGTTTCAAATGAAACATTTCCCTCGAAATAATTTCCGTCAAAATTTTCATCAGAACACATTCCCATCGAAATTTTGAACGAAAAACATTCTGTCAAATTTTTTGACAAAATTCTTTTTTCGTTTAAAACATTTGATGGAAGAAATCATTTTCGTCAAAACTGTTGACGGAAACTAAATTTCAATAGAAAAAATTTTTTTGTAAAAATTTCGACGAAAAAATAATTTTGTGACAAAATTTTCGTCTTTTGCAACATAAAAATTTCGACAAAATTTTGTGAGAAAACTAAGTCAAAAACGGGTCAGGTCAGATTTGACCCAGTTCAGAAACCAAGTCAGACTCACTTCAGAAACCAAGTCAGGTCAGATCCAAACTGGTTGTGAACTAGTTCAACAAAATCCAATCCAAGTCAGACCTGGCTTGGATCAAATTAAAGTGGGTCGGGTCAAAATACCTAACCTATAAAAACTAAGTTGGGTCGAGTCGGACAAAAACCTGACCCGATCTGACCCATGCACAGCCCTACCTATGACCCGACCTTTCTTTAGCTTGGATTCACCAATTAAATAAATATAATAGGTTTGGATCTATTACAAAATTTATTTAAAAATCAAGTCACAAATCTATTTTGCAAGGCCCAGTATGTGAGCCTCCTGGCACCTACATTTTAAAATAAACTTTTTTTATTAATATTTATATATGATTTTATTAATTGAATAATTTTTTTCTATATAAGATGGTGTACCTTTGTCTATATTTTATAATTTATAAATGATAAAATTCATTGAATAAACTCCAGATGTTCAAACAAATTACAAAAAAAAATTGCATATTTATCACACATGCATTACCGAAGATGAGTTTTAATTTACAAATTGCAATGCATGCTTACCTTTGAACTTATGAAGACTACCAAAATTGTAAACTTTTGATATATAATTTATTTCAAATAAAATTTCAACATTCACTGCACATATAATTTATTTTTCATATGCAACCAACATTTAATTGTATAATAACTCCAAGAAAAAAAACTTCTGTTATAGGAAGATAGGATTATGAGATTACATGATTATGAGAAGGTAAAGAATATATTAGATGATCCGAACAACAATTGGGTTAAATTTTTCATCTTTTATTATTTCTATGTGTACCTTTAGAATCATATACCATAAGTGCTCAAGATTTTAATATTATGTTTATGTGCCTAATATTATATTATGTTATGTATGTAATATTATATTATATTGTTATATTGAAGATGACTCACTGTTATAATATCTAGTTTTGAACAATTTGTTATTTTTATTTCTCCTAGAACAATGTCTTGCCATGGAGTTATTTAATTTATGTTTTTCACTTCAAAAGCAAACAACTGTAAGAATATATCACATATCACAAAGTTTTTGTGGTGTGTAGTTAACATTAGCTCAATTGCTTTTTATATTTTAGAATTTGTAGGTGTACATAATTTTATTAGTCTCACTAACTTTAAATTTTAATTTTAATTAAAATTCACTGGCTGCACTTTATTACGAAAAAAATTATGAAAATATATTGTAAAAATTGAATAATTTATATGTCATCTTAGTATGCCTAATAGGCCTGAAAGGCCATACCCCAGATCAATATTTTAGCTTGCACCAATCTAAGAGGTCAGGTCAGACTCAAAATATTTTATAGATGCCTATCTTATTTAGAGGCTGTTTGGATGGGCTTTCAAAAACAGAGCTTGCTTTTTACGTCTTGCTTATTTTAGAAGTACTTTTTACAAAAGTTAAAAGTTATTTAAATTTTTCAAAAAATATTTGGCCTTTGACTTATTTTTTTTTTAGAAGCTAAATGTTTTAACTTAAAAAAAAACAAGTTTTTGACTTTTTTTTATAACTTCTGCTTTTTTTTTAAAATAGGCATCCAAAAAGATTTTTTTCAGAAAAATGTTTTTTTAATTAAAAAAATAGACTTTGAAGAAGAAGAAAAATTCATCTAAACGGGCCCTTAGGCTAAAGCCTAGCTTGACATGTCCCATTGACACCCCTAACAGCAACAATGATTGAGTTTTAAGGCATAATTGTATTTTGAGGGAGTAATTTGTTCCTCATTAGTGATTTTAATTAAAAGCTGAGTTGGTTAAAAATAATGGTATTTAACTTATTTATCATTATTCTTTTTAAAAGTTAATATCCAAAAATTATAAATAAAAAAAGATATTGGAAGCATTTTTTTTTAAAAAAAATTACATTTTCAGTTGGCCTATCAAAATAGAGGAAAGATATGACACGTCTTAGCATGTTACAATACATCTCATTTTCAAAAGTGCTTAAGGCATGTTTGGTGCATAGTATAGGATAAGGTCTGATTGTAACACCTCGTTCTGGAACCGGTTTGTTAACATCGCATTATGATATTAAGCGCAGTTACAATCACATGGGTTCAATTAAAGTCCGGTTAAATTTTTCTTTTTAAAATATGCCGAATTTAAAATGCCCAATTGCGTGATCATACCCATATTACATTGCGGAATAAAATGAATTAAGCTTAACATCATACTCTTATTATATTAGACCAAAGGTGGTTAAATGTCATCCTCTCTTCATTAGCTACGCGTGGTTTCGAACCGCGCCTCATTTGGAGCTCTGTAGCTCAAGTTATGACAAATTATAACAATACATGTTTATATTGGACACAGGCCGCGCGCGCTTAAGCGCGCTATCGGGCGCTAAAGCGCCCACTGGCAGAGAGGAACTCGTCTTTTTGCAGCTAAGGGCGCTTAAGCGCGCTACCCTGGGCGCTTAAGCCCCCATTTCGACGCTGAAGCCCGCGGAGGCAGAGAGCATGGGCTCTCACAGGGGCAGCAAGGCGCTTAAGCGCGCTGCCAGAAAATTCTACACACTCTCATTTTTCAATTCTAAACCCAGGGGAAGTGAATCCCACTTGACAAGCCTTAAATGTCCATGCTTCCAAGCTTATTCCTAGTACTTCTTCAACCTCTCCACATGGATTAGACTAAAATTGGGCAGCATCTCCTTTGTTTTCTCAACTTTTCCCAATTTATCACTAAGTACCTAATTAAGTTTCCAACTCAACAAGTCCAATACATAAAGTGCATACATGCATTTATCTTAAAATAGGCATCATTTACAACATATCTTCATTACAAATCAGGGAACTTAGCTTACAAAATACTATGATCATTCCCTTGGCTCCCATCCACAAAAGAGATAACCAAAGGCATGAGCATAGGCTAAGTCCATTCAAATAAAACAGGATATACATCTATCAATGAACAATCCTATACATGTAAACTACAAAATAACATGTATAATCTCAAAAGACAGCATCTTCATGTATCACTACTAATCCAAATAAGGCCACTTGCCACTGGTGGCTCCTGCAGCATCTTTACCTGAAAGGGGGTCCCCACAACACGGGGTGAGATATACGAATATATCCAGTAAACCAGGGATCCTTGGAGCATCTCTCCACCCCATAGTTCCAAAAGCAGTGTAATAGCAATAACAATAATAATGCAGTAAATACATATCTATGCAAAGTGTAAAATAACATCTCCAGGAGAAATCCCTCGAGCTCTCAAGCTGTCCTAAGGATACTCAAATGCAAATAGTCCTACTGGCCAGCTAAACTACCAAATATGAATTACGCATCGTCATGCAACATACCAACATAGGGAAACACCATCCTATGCCACACCAAATGCATACACATACGTATAACAAAGCATTAAACTATTTCATTGCATTTATATACACTATCACAACCACTACCCATTCAGGACTTGGTGGAACAATCAAGGGAATTAAGCCCAAGGTCCGAAGGCTTACCTCAAAGCTTCCGTTTAACCTTTGTTCTTCACCAATCTCAACAACCAAGCTTTACAATCAATACCAATTTAAGTGAGCTAATCAAGTTTCATAGCTTCCTCCAATGGTTGGTCCTCCAACGTTAATCCACAAGGCTCAATCCTAGCCATCATATAAGTACAATTAACATTCAACCAACCCATTGTTTACCAATGCAAGAAAATCCACAAACTAAGTATACAACCTAGCAATTTTCAAAGCACAATCAAATAGCTAAATAAGTTCATTTCTACCGATTAAACGTCATTCCTAGCATTTTTCATAACATGTACTAAGTTTCAATCCACCTAGAACATAGTCAATTTACTCACATAATCACAAACCCTAAAACACTATTCATCTAAACATAAACTCATGAAAATAGAGTTCAAGGAGAAGAATCTTACCAAAATTGGGTATACAACCAAGGGATGTTAACCTCCTAAGCTCCCATGGAAGAAATCACTTTCAATCTCCTCAAAACCCCAAATTTTCGCCCCAAAAAACAAGGAAAATCCCACTCCACAAAGACTCCCACTCAAAACCAAGCTTTGATTGTGAAAGAGGGGAAGATTTGGAGTGGTTTAGGCTTTGGAATGGATGAATTTGGCTAAGGTTTGCTCAACCTAGGGTTTCCCCCTTCTCCTTCTCTTCCTTTCTTTATTTCCTCTTTTGGTGGTCGACGGGAATGGCAGGGATTTTGGGTTCTTTTTGTGGTCTAGTCACTTAACTTAAGTTAAGTGGAATAAAGTGGGTATTGGTTCATCTATCTATTTAACTCCATTAATTACCAAACTTTACCCAAATATTTAGAATATTTTTCTAGGAATATTTCCACTTCCATTTTTATATTTTGGATACTTTTGCCTACACCCATTTATACCCCTTAATTTTCACAGAATACACATTTTACCTCCAAAGTGACTCCAATTCATTTAATTAAGTCTTATACTTAATTTTATTCACTATTACATGATTAATTATTCAATCACATTTAATTTACTAATTAATTAAGTTAGGGCTATTATACTGATAGTATAAGACCTGATAGTATAAGGCCTGATTGTGTAAGACCTAATTGAATTTTAATACTATTCAGTGTGTGGTACAGTATTGTATAAAATAATATCATCTAGTATTTGGTGATGTATCGTAAATATAATACTATATAGGATAAAAATAAACATTTTTAATAAAAATATCGAATTTATATAATTCTTTAAAAAATGTCATATGATATTAATTTTTATAAAAATTTATTAATCAGTGTGTCCAAAACATAAATTAATTTTTACAAAAATAAAAATATTCAATATTTTAAAAATTAATATATTGAAAAATTAATTTTTATTTTATTATATTAATATTAAAATAATATATTAATTTTTGAGAATTACACTGGTCAACGATGTTAATACACCAACCTCTTATCAGGCCTTATCCCTCCCCTTAGGCCAGATTAAGTTATAAACTTATACTATACAATGGTCACACCAAATAACTGAAAATGTCATAACGTATAGTATAAGCTTATACTATCAGGCCTTATACATCACCCTAAACAGACCTTACAACACTGCGTTTTGACCTTTTTACCTTTACACAGATCTCTTCAGTTTAAATTTTCTAGTAGATAACTAATAAAGCCTCAAACAAGACCAAATATTGTCAATTTTAAAGCATGAGTTGTTCCTATTCATACAAGTTATTTGAAATTGCTGTGTTTATATTTGTCCAGAAGTTTAGATTAATGGTTTTCTGTTGGGCTTCTGTCTTCAGAGGCATGTGGATGTCCAAAAGGTTGATTTTGCAACCTGCGTGGGCACAATCAACACAACTATCATAACTTCTTCATTGTGCAAACCTGATGACTGAAGATGGTAAGCATGATACAGTAATAAGCTGGATGATGATTTTGAACAACCGAGCAAATTATCTTGTACTATTTAAAGAAGCTGAAGTTCCCTTCATTTCTTGTTAGCGATATTATATTATGTTCTGCTAAAAAGCACGGCAATTATATGACCATATGAATGAATTGAAATAGAATAAAGTGTTTGAATGAATAAAAATGTAATATAACAAGTGGCGACTATGAATATAAATGGAGATGACGATTACTACATCATATTAATTAACTTCTTCAGGTGTTTGGATGTGAACGCAGAAGGAAACTTCCTCCATCATCTGCTCTACTAAAAATAGCATATCTGGACATCTATTCAGTCCTAATATATATATTTGGATTGAAATTCTCTCATGTTAATAATCCAAGATCAATTCATCAAGTCTCCTTTCTCCTGGCCTATCAATAACATAAAGACAGTATACGAATCATATATATATATAACAGTATGAAGTTATGCTATTTGAAACTGGTGTGGCAGTCAATTTTTGAATTGATTCGCACTCTCCATTGTTGTGATTTATTTTGAAGTTGTTACAAGTTATACATCGACTTAGCAGTTAAATTAGTTAATATTAGGCTAGGCTTCAAATTATTTCCAAAATTGAAAAAAACATTTTTTTGTCATTTCTCCATTAGCTACTTCTTTGTCTTCTTTTTCTAACTTCTGCTTATATAGTTGCTTAAAAATCAATTATCACGCCCAAAAGCTCCATGTGGAAAATTATTTGGTACATCTATTCTATCTCAAAAGAAATACATGATTATTTAGCCTATGGCTGCATAAACATTTGGCAGTAAAGAATAAATTTTCCATGTTAAAACTAATGTTTCCAACATTCAACATTGGTTTTATTCGAGCTGGTCATTCTAAGAGAACATCGATGTGGTCCTCAAGAGATTCTTAAAGAACAAACTCTTTTACTGTGTGCAAAGGTGGTTTTGCTCTTTCAGGTAATTGATTGTGATTTATCTGCCACTTGTAAGCTGCTTCATTGTCTTCCCTTTGATTGAGTTAATGAAGTTTATTTATCTAGAGAAATACAATTTTCGTATATGAATTAGTTTCAACTAAGTTCACATGTCAGCCTGAAGGTCAATTTCCCCAAAGCCTAGCCATAAAAATGCATGAGAAGGAATTTGTGAAAAAGGTTTAATTTTTTCCTTGTTAACTAGATAATAAGAGAAAGAGAACAAAAGACTGACGAGGTTTACCATAGCCACATGTCTGCTTATGAAGGGCAAGCTTCTATTTTAGAGCAAGATTCTTTCTTTCAGAGATTAAGATGACTGACGTAACAAGTACTCTTCATGGATAGCGATCAACTGTTCTGCTACCTAGTTGCATTACTGGGAAACATTAGCACAATTTCATGGATGTTAATGTGACAGCAGAAAAAGGGACAGTGTTGCTGCATAAATTTGGCCATAGGTGATGTAATTATGAAGCATCAGACTTTCAAGAATGCAGTTTGGTATGTTTGATACAACTTGCAAACATTATTCCTACTTCCAAGGTCCAGGAAGTAAAATAAAAAATAAAACAAAAAAATCAAACTTCATTTTCCAGCACTTCCTTTAACATCCTTAATAAGATATGTTCATACACATATCACATATTATAGACAAATTTCACATATATAAGTCACTCCTTCACAGGGTGACAAAATGCATTCATTTATGTACCCCTATCAACCATTGCAGATCATTTCTTAAAACAAAATGAAAAAGAAAAAGAAAAAAAGTTTCCAATCACATAACTAAACGGACAGAAAACATTGGCAAACATCTGACATATGGAAAAATTACATTTGGAAGGAAAAATGTTAATATTAACGTTAATAGACAATGTTAGAGCCAAAGGGGTGTATATTTGTATACCTGTTCAATGCTGCCATCTTCTATCTCTGTGTTGAATGTTAGCAACATAGATTCGTGGAGCATATTTTCTAAATCTTCGACAGGAACCGGTGCTGTAATTCAGATAACAAAGCAAAAGCATATACATGAGACATAATGAAGGGCAAACAGAGAGAAGAATAGAAAGAAAAAAAAAGTGTCGGAGTGAATGAATCAATAATGGAAAGTAAAAAAAAAAAGTGCAAAGAAGAATTAGTGGACGACCATTGGATTTGGAGAACCAAGAGAAAATATCAGCAGCAAGCTGGTGGAATTTCTGGAGGGAGTCGGTGCCACCCCACTTGTTCTGGACGGCCATTTGAAGGGCATACCAACGAGAGAGAAGCAAAATGATATCTTCTTGCAGGAGAATCCTAGAGACAGGTTCTGTTCCCTCACGTGCAGGGTGGTTCCCATTGATGGAATCCATCGGAAGCACCTCTGTCTCTCTGTGTGTTGGAAGAGAGAGATATCCAGACAACACACAGAGTGGGGGAGAAATGAGAGGAAGTAGAGATACATATATACATGTGGAGGAGTGTATGGGATTGGATACAAGGATGTGCGAAATGTGGGGAATGATGAGATCAATGAGTTGGACAGGGAATTAGTTCTACCTTTTTAACTATATATGGGAAGCCTAAAAAGGAAAAATGTTTTATTCTATTTTGTTTTAAAATCTTTTGCATTTAATGACATGAATTATTTTTACTTGACCTGCTAAACTAATGGTAAATTCCGTTGCGACATTCGAGCACAAGAATTTACCCAAGACCTGTGATCACTCTTGCCTAAAACTTTAAAAAATGTAATTGTCAACAAACAAAAAAAGGAAAGAAAAAAAAATGTATCAAATCATACTTCAAAAGAAATGATGAAAAAATAAACAAACAAACCAATGTTAATAACACCTGACTGGCCGACTGGTGAATTCGAAAATAAGTAAATCGGTTATATAATTGGTTCGGGTGAAGTAATGGGTCAGTCATGTATCAAAATTGGTGCGAATCTATGCGATCCGGCCGATTTTTATGAAAATCAGTGACCGGTGACCCGGCCGGTTCACAATGAAAAAATTCCCAAAATGTTTAAAAAAAAAAATCATAATGAATATATTTGAGTATTTTTTTGTTTATTGACTTACATTGATTATGTACCTACAACACTAAAACATTAATATTATCTCAATTATGTACTATGAAGGAAATTTTAATTTGATTTATAAGTAGATATGTCGTTTACTGAATCTCAAACCTCGTATCACGATCATTATATTTTTATTTGATCTTTTATTGAAAAATAATGTGTGATTTATTATTTTTTATATTAAAATATTTGAATTTTTTTATCGTTTTTTTAGATATTTAAATATATTTATAATTTTTTAATATAAATTATATAATTATATATAATTAACAGGTCATAACAGCGACAGTTACCTAGTATATTGAAAGGGGGAAACGTCTTTCCCTAAAACGAGAATAGAGAAGAAGCAGAAAAAATGGCAGCAGAAGGAGTGAGCCTCAACCATATATCTCGAGAATCCTCCGACATAAAACGCCTCGCCAAATTCTACCAAGAGGTGAGCGAGTTTCTTTGTTTTGTTTGTGTAATAAGAATATGAACTGACAACGTTAGATGATGATGATGATGATGATGATGATGTCATGGTACAGATATTCGGGTTCGAGGAAGTGGAAAGCCCTGACTTCGGAGAATTCAAGGTTGTATGGCTGCGGCTTCCGTCGTCTTGTGTGTATATGCACCTCATCGAGCGCAATCCAACCAACAACCTCCCTGAAGGTCCATGGAGTGCCACGTCACCCGTTGCTGATCCCTCGCATCTCCCCAGAGGTCACCATCTTTGCTTCTCCGTCTCCAATTTCCAATCCTTTCTCCACACTCTCAAGGTATTTATTTCATCAACTATTGGGAGTTTTGAAAATGATGTGAGGTTTAGGTTGGATGTGGAATTGAGGAGTGAGATGCAAAATTTCGAAATGAATTGACTTCTAGGTTTAACTATAAACTATGCATCTTAGCAGACAGTGATTGTGGTGATCATAACTGATAATTGCATATTTTTGTTTATTGGAATAGCCTTTTTCTTTTTCTTTTTTGGGGTAGTTTTATTGGAATAGCCTTTGTTTGGAAAGAGAGTAGTTGTTAAAGTAATGTAAAATGTAAATTGGTTTTTCTCTGCACTTAACACCGTGTGTGTAAGATTGTAAATTTAGTGGATGCTTGAGTTTGTTTATGCAGGATAAGGGTATCCAGACTTTTGAGAGATCCCTACCTAATGGGAAGATCAAACAAGTGTTCTTTTTCGATCCCGATGGTAATGTCCTTTAATTTTGATCGTTAAAATATATTTTGATTGACAAATAAACTGCCACTTTTCATTTAGATATTAGTAAAATTTGGCATTATAATTGTCCAAGATTTGGTGACTGGCCCTACGATCCTAATATGAATGTCTATATTGTATTTGCAGGTAATGGTTTGGAGGTTGCAAGTAAGGAGGACTCATAGTTTGATGTGCATGTGTTATGTATAGCTATGATAATGTACCATATCATTTAAGAACTCCAAACAACAATTACAAAAATATTTCCTCATGATGCAGTTGTGATTTGTATGACCAACTATCATCAACCTATGGACAATTCTTATTCCGTCTCGTTTGTTATGTGATTAGTCTTGATTTCCTTTACTCATTAATCTTAAAGTGTAGCTAGATTTTGATGGTGTTGTTTCTCTCATGTTGAGATATGTTTGGTCCACAAGAAATGGAAGAGGATAATGTACAAGGTATCTAGTTAGTTTAGGCTCATTATCTTCGCCCCTTCTTTGCATTTCATTTCCCCTTTACCAAACAGCAGATGAAAGTCTTTGCCTATTTTGTGTGCTTTTGCGGCAAAATATTCCAAAAAAGAAAAAAAAAAAAGAAAAAGAAGAAGAAGAGAGGAATGCAAAAGCAGGTCAACAAACGGCAACTTCAAAGAACATGGAACGTTAGAGCTTGATTTGATTCAGGTTGCAGAATTTATTCTGTCTTGCATGAACGTCCATTCCACCCAAACGTACTCCAGCTAACTATTAATTGCCTGCGTGTTTGAACTACATAGAACTTTTTGTCAAGTGATAATATCACAATATGTATACCATTACCATAAAGAATTTGTGTCAGCTATTGTGTCCATCGGATCTCAAGCACTTGCCTTCTAATCGCACTCGATACGTGTCTCGATAGTGTATCAGGCCTAACTAAGCGAAAATTGACATAGCTTAAGTAACTCCACCATGCAATGTCGAATACTTTATGGATGCCATATTCAACCTTCATAATTAATATTCTCCTTTGACAACTTACTGGTTAAGTTTGAAAAAAGTTTCACGCCATTGTAAGATTTGTATGATAACAATGCCTTATTCTTCTTTCATATACAAGCTTACATAATATATATTGTCAATTAATTTTTCTTACCCCAATGTAATCACACGAATACATTTATTTTAATTATAATATCTCCAATTACAATAAATGAAAAAATGAACTTTCGGAACGAGACAAGACACGACATTACAAATGCATATGCATGCCACCTTAATTGCTTATTTTCACTGGAACAACTCGCAAGGGTTGAGCCTTTTGTAAGGTGATACCAAATTTATCATCCATGTCCATATCCTCTACTTTCATGCCATCTTCAAGTTTCCAATTAAAGGAACTGAGCAATGAACCCAACATCAAGAGCAACATCCTCATTGCCAACAGCATGCCGGGGCATATTCGCCTCCCAGAACCAAAGGGTGCAAGCTCAAAATTCTGGCCTTTCACATCAATGTTTGATCCTAGGAACCTCTCCGGATAAAACAATTCTGGATTGTCCCAAATGGTTGGATCCCTGGCAATAGTCCACACATTAACTAGCACTTGTGCATCCTTTGGGATGGTGTAGCCACATACGTTCACATCTCTCTCAGCTTTTCGAGGCAGTAAAAATGGAACTGGCGGGTGCAAGCGAAAGGTCTCTTTTATTATAGCTTGCAAGTAAGGGAGTCTAGCAATGTCTGATTCCTCAACAGGGTTGCCTCTGCCAATGGTTAGCTCGAGTTCCTTTATTGCTTTTGACATAACCTCTGGATTGCGTATTAACTCAGTCATTGCCCATTCTAGTGTAGATGTTGTCGTATCCGTTCCCGCAACAAACAGATCCTATTCAATCAAATTGTAAACTAAGTCAGCAGTTGTAATAAAAAAACACATATGATATGGCTAAGTGTAAAAGGGTTCAATAAAAAGAGAAAATTAAGGAGAGGAGAATAATACATGTGACAAGTGCTCAATCATTGTTTTGTCCATCATCTTGTTCTCTTGAGAAATATTGAGAAGGGCGTCTAACATGTCCCTGTGGCTATCAACATTTGTGTCTTCCCTATGCTTCAAACGTTGGTTAACCAAGCGGTCGAAAATGTGCAACACCTTCTCAACGTTCTTGGCCTGATGTCTTTTGATGCCTTGTGGATCAAACATCTTCAGAACAGGAAAATAATCCGCCAAGTTTGGTGTTCCAACCAGTTTTGTGATATTCGTCACTAAGTCCTTGAACTCACCTGCTGTACCAGCAGAGTGAACCAAATCCACAGAGAAAATGGTGTTTGATAGTAAATTGATGGTGGTCTTGAAAACTGCTGTTCCAATGTCCACTGCTTCACCAATTTGGCTGCTTTGGTGGATTTCAGTGAGGAGCTGTTGCACTTTCTTACGTCTAACATCTTGGCTGGCATCAAGAGTTTTGTGTGAAAATAACTGACCATTGCATATTTTCCTCAGGTCTCGCCAAAGTGGGGAAACGGGAATGAAGGCCAAGCTATAGTTCTCGTGGTTTAGAACTGAGACTGACTGAGGGATGGTCCTATTTGACAAGGAGTGATCATGGGTTAGGAGCACCTCTTTGGCCATCTCAGCTGAAGAGACAACTACAGTGGTTATTTGGCCTAGCTTTAAGCTCATTACAGGGCCGTGAATCTTAGCAAGCTTGGCCAACGACTCGTGAGGCTTGTGACCCAGTTCAAGTAGGTTTCCTACAATGGGAAGAGGGGAAGGTCCTGGTGGAAGCTTGTAGTTTGGTTTTCTGCTTCTTACAAGGAATGAACAAAGAACATGAATGGTGGCGCACGTCAACAGAATGAGCAGTGCACAACTTACAAAATCCATCTCTACGACTACGAGTGAATTGAATTGAATGGTTCCAAATGTGGAGGGAATGAAAGATTACAGGACAATTTGATGCATATGGGATACTTAGGCATTCATCTTATATACATGACGATAATATTAAAATAATCACAAGTTGTCATCAAGACATCAACGTAAAAAATTCAATGGCAGTTTGAATGAATGATTGTTGTACAGTGACAGGTTCAGCCTAACCCCAACTTGGGTTGACTGTGGATCCAATCCAAAACCCAAAACAGGTTCAGTTTTTTAAAATCTTTATCGTTATTTTAAGAGCAAGACCGGGTCAGGTCATTATTTTATTTAGTCTAATGATTCTTCTTCTCGTGATAAAGTGAATAAACTAGTAGAGTGTGGCAAAAGCTCGATGGCCGGCTATTGTTAAACAATACTTCAAATTTTGGATTATGCGAAGAGGATGTTCTGTTTGAAATGAAATCATCAAAATAATCGAATGGATTTGGTGAATCCTTGAATGTCTAGTACTATTCAAACTTGAGGACCGGGTCTTGTTAATTGTTCATAGACAGATCGAGTTAACAGAGGGAGCATTTTGCTGCCATGTGAATACGGGCTTATTATGGGTTGAAGATGCCACTGACTTGGTCTTGTGCATTGCATGTGGATGGTTCCTTTCTCTCACCGCGTCCAACCAACATGAAAGTGGTAATGGAAAGTCACAAATGGAGCTCGTGTTTGTCTTCTTCCTCCCATCACACCTTCAAGTACTAAAGACGAAGGAGTTGAAGCCTGACTTTTTCCTCCGATATCGGAAAATCCTTATTTGCTTTGAGAGTATTACTTTTAGCGGTTAACAACTTAAATTTTTTTTGTCTTAAGCAGTAAAGAACTTAATATTTAGTATTTAAATTTAGGATTTAATATTTTTAAAATGAATATAAATAAATTATCTACATTCCCTTCTAAAATGATGTCATTTTGGGTTAAATTATAATAAAAAAAAACTATTATAATCTTAAAAATAAATTATAATTACAAAAATACATTAATTTTCGTTTCGAAACGACGTCGTTTTAGACTCTAAATTATTTATATTGACTGTAGTAAAAGAGAACTCTTAAATTTAATACAAGAGATATATGATTATGCTATGTTTTTAGTAGACCGGTGAGGTAGTCTAAAAATACTTAAGAATTAATTTTTTTTTAAGTTAAAGTAAAAAAAAAAAAGAATTTAAAAAATGTTAAAATTTATTTGATGATAACAAAAAAAATTTAACTTAAAAGTTCAAACTTTACTTTAAGAAAAGCTAATAAGAACTAAAAAAACAAAAAAAAAAACTCTTAGGAGCTTTTTTGATTTTGACTTTTTTTTATTATAAAAAAAAATTATTATAAAAGCTTTTATAAAAACTTGTCTGGCTTAATTTCTGCTTATAAAGAGAAGAGAAACTAAAAATTTCTGCTTATAAGGAGAAGAGAAACTAAAAAAGAGAAGTTCCAAACATACAATAAATAACCTAATTCTCCTTAAATTCTCTTTTGGCAACTGATTTAGGGTGAGATAAAAAAGGGAAGAGAAGCAGACCAAAAAAAAAAAGGAAGAGAAAAATGTACAGGTGAAAATTGGTAATGCGCGTTTTATTGCCAAATACATTTCAAAAAATGTACAGGTGAAGAGATTTAGGGTGTTGTTTAAAGAAACAAGATTAAACATTGCATATTAAAATAAGATATTACAAAAAAAAAATGACAATTTAATATGAAAAACACTATTTGGAGCCTGTTTAGTATACTTTTAGAGCCCGTTTACTATGCGAAATTTTTAGGAATTCTCGAGAAACTGAATTTTTTAATTTTTTTTTTAAATTTTTAATTTTCAGATATTATCATAAACTGAACGTAAAAATCATATTTCTGAAAATTGAAATTTTCGGACAAAAAAAAATTTCTTCTGTACCAAACGTCCCCTTAAAGCTCGAGATAAAAAAAAAAAACATTCTAATAAAAAACGCTTGAAATTTGTATATATGAAATTTTCACTCCTACAGCAAACGGACTATAGAAGTAAACATTTTACAACCACCTTCATCAAGTAAAAGTGGGCTTTATGAAAGTGAATAATGAGAACATAAACTATTGTTCAGATTGACAAACGAAAGATCAATGTGATTCATTCTAAAAATATAGAGGATACAAGACAAGAACAGTGGGGGCATACAATGTCTACATATTTATTTACAATACCATATAATTAAGGGAAGCAAGGACTCTGTCAGCCAGTAAATGATGCCTATGTTGAAGTATTGAGGGCTTTAAAGTCATAATGATGTTCTATTGGAGGAGATTTTACATATACGCACTCTGCCCAACTTGTATTGAATTAGGAGAAAATTGCTATGTGCATGTAGAGGAAGAATCAACATTTAACTGTATGACCAGTTCTCGTCAATGAGATGGTTAAGGAGACCAGGCATGATGCATAAAAGAAATCTATCCCCGTTTTGAACAGTGGTCTCAATCAACTTAGATTTATGTAGCTTCTTAAGGGCTTGGCTTGTTTGTGTTTGCTTGCACCAGCTGAAACATATGAGATAAGAAAAAAGAAAGTTATCCACAATTCAGCAAAATAACAAACGAAAGAAATCTGTTGCAGTTGACACAGTTAGAAGATAAAGAAAACATCATTCATTCCTCGAGAGTCTTTCTCTCTGTACTTTTCACGAATTCATTGAGCATACAGATTTACATAGAAACCGGACAGATTCACCATAATCAATCTCAGCCTCTCACTCCCGATTAGCAAACAAACCAGAAGTCATTAGGAATAAAAAGCACCACCAAAGTATTGAATACTGAAGGAGAATACAAATGGAAGTGTAATTGTAACGATAATTGTTTGTTGTCCTCAGAAAAAACCCTAGTGGTGAATTTGGGGAAAATGTGCGAAACTCCCAAAAAAAGGAAAAAGATAAAGAAATAATAAGAAAAGGTAAGAATAACATCTGTAAAAAAGAAACATGCACGGGCAATATGGATCCATGGTGAAAAAGTAATGATTTTTCATGATTAGCTTCGAAAACAAAGAGGGGAAAAGAAACATGTGTTGGGGGGTTGAAGAAGGAGGCTCAGATTCGCCTTTTGTCAGACAAGAGAGTGAGCAGAACCATGACCATGGCTGCGTGAAGAGACCACAGAGACTGAGACACCTCGCCTCGCCAGGACATGGCTCTGCTTCACTCAATGTCTGATCCAATAACAGAAAGCATCATCACTGCCTCGCTATACCCACAAGAAGAAAAAGAAAAAGAAGAAGAAAAAGAAGATGATTATGATGAGGGTGATGATGGATAATGAAACAGAGAGAGAGATAGAGAGAGAGATAGATATATAGCGAGCTGTTTGGAAATTTGAAAGAGAAAGCATCATCGGCAACGACAGCCTCATACTTAAACTAATCGGTTGCAAAGGGAGGCTCAGAATCAGAGAGAGAGAGAGAGAGAGAGAGAGAGAGAGAGAGAGAGAGAAGCGTCACCATGGCTGCGTCTAAACGCCTCGCCAGGATAAAGCCTCTCATCTCAGGTCCCCTCAATGTCTCACCTAAAACATCCATCACTGCCTCATTATGAAATATGAAAACACACAAACGCAAGAATAATAAAGCAGATCAAATATGCAACTGAACATGAAATGCGAAATGAATTGAAAAGTGAAAACCCAGCAAATTTTGAATACCTAATGCCAAAACATTCACATCTCCTTTCTCTCTCGCCCCATGCAATTTGGATACTCCTCCTAGAGCAGTGAGCACCGCCACCACCCCTATAATAGCTGCGCCTGCGAAATCTGGTTCCACTATCAGCACAACATTTTACCCTAATGGGCTCACTGCCTGCAAATTCTACATATTGGGCCAACCACAACCATTACCATTGGGCTTTTCAATTCAGCTCATTACCATTGCTTTAGGTTTTTTTTCTTCTTCTTTTTTTTTAAAAAAAAGAAAGAAACTATTTAGTATTTTCTCTCCTTTTTCTTTTCCTTTTTCTTTTCTATTTTTATACGGGTAAATATTGATATTCATTCTTGAGTTATAAAATTTTAATATCATTGATGTTTGTATAAAGGATTAGAATTGCTTGACATTGTAATATTCTCTTGGTTGGAAATCAGAAATTATGAAAAGAAAACTCAATGTCTCATCTATACAAGCTACTATCATAGCAAAAGAGCTGGTACTGATTAACCATAAAAATAAAATAAAAAAGAGTTGACACTGATTCACGGAGCCCTGAAATCTCAAAATAATATGAATAATTTCACTCTCTCTTTCTCTCTGTGTGTCTTTTCCTGAATTGTTTGCCATATTGAATTTTTGACAATATAATTTTCAAATAAAGTACACATAATTCCTCAATTTATTTATATGACTCTTTTTCTATAACAAACCGTACATTCATTTAAGAAGAATACTCGTTTACTTTCTAAATTTAATAATTATACAAGTCATTTCCTGAATTTTCAAATTCATATCAAGTTAATTTTTTTTACAAAAAAAATAAAGTGAAATATAAAAAAAAACTAGGTTAATACAAATTTTATAAGGGGGTTATTAATATCCTGCAACAAATCATGGGGCCCACTGTTTATTTAAAAAGATTAAAATTTGTTAAAATTGATGAGTTTGCAGGAAAGAAAAACACTATATAACAAAATTAGAGTTGTTTTTATCATTTTATAAATGATTTTAATGTTTCTACAATAAATATAGATAAATTATTTATATTTATTTTTAAAATGATATCATTTTAAATTAAAAAATTATAATAAAAAAATTATTATAACCTTAAAATAAATTATGAAAAAACGATCCCTTTATAAATACTTAAAAACTAACTCATGTACAGAAATTTAAATCAGAGACTAAACTATTCAGTAAAGAATAGTTGTAAGGATCAGGTTGATTATTTATTCTCAGGCATTAGATGTGGCATGGGAGACGCGTGTTATTTTTTTTGT